TTGTTGCTGCTGCTGCTCTATTGTTGTTGTTGTTGTTGCTGCTGCTGCTGCTGCTATTGTTGTTGTTGTTGTTGTTGTTGTTGTTGTTGTTGCTGCTGCTGCTGCTGCTGCTACTGAATAGTAGTGCGAATCGTTATCATACGCGTTTTTATACGGTTTTGTGGCGCGTATGTGGCAGCTTTGACAAACAAACGTGTTTGCACCGAGCTTCGCTCGAAGAAACAAGCCTAACAAAGAAATAATTAAGCGCCACGTATTTACTTTTGGCGGTGAAGTAAGTAGTCCCTACTCAGCTGCGTTAGAATACATCGTCGCGCGGCGTTGATTGCTCTATTCCACCCACCATCCCCCTATGCTTTATAGAATCTAAATATCTATTAATTATAATTAAATATAATGCACACACATGTATATATAATATATAATTATAATTAAAGTGATCTTTTTCAGAAAGTTTTCCCGGGTAAAATTGTGCGATTTCGTTTGACCTATTTTTTCATAGCAGACGTCTCCAGTAATAATACTTCTACTTCGATATGCGACACAGCAACTGCATGGACCTCCCTCGCAGGTTTCAATACGGGATGATGTGTAGCCGGACTCACAGATGTGTTCAGAGACACAGAAGTTAATTTCCAATGCAAATTAATGCCTTGTCCACAATATGTAACGGTTCACAGGTGAAGTCCTCTCCTAAACGCGATACATAGTTTCGGGCCTGCGTTAAGGCTGGGGTTAAAACTAAGGGATAAATCTCTGTTAGTGATACAGTTAGAAATATGCTAATGTGTTAGGTTTAAGGTTAGGTTTAAGGTAAGGGTTACAGGTAAGGGTTAATTATATCAATTAATTAAGAACTCTTGCCGCCTGTTTTTGCTCTTCTTTTTTAAAATAATAATGAGTGTTTCAGTAAGTTTATTGAGCATGGTTAATTTTTTGTTTTGTTTACTGTATTTTTTTTTATATATCAGTATGTAATGTTACTAATGACAGAGTTCACCTATTATTATGTTTTATTAGTTATTTAATCATTTTTGTAATTTATAGGAGTGACTATAACTAGAAGACTGTATTGTCATTTCGCCATCCATCCCATCCATCACTTCTATTTATTTTGTTTCATGTTATACCTTTCTGCTAATTTGCATAAGTGTAAATAAAGTGATTAATAGAATATGAATATATGAAAATTAGATTCGGAAGTCTGACATTATCAACGATTTATCAAGGTAGGTTGTTAGTTTATTGTACACTCATTTCAAGTGCCATCACCGGCATCTTGTATTATGTATACTGTGCAGTGTTAGCATGTATATATTAGGGCTGTAACGATACAGAAGCCTCTCGATTCAGGCGCGTAGCCAGGGGGGGCGGTGGGGGCGGTCGCCCCCCCCCCATAACGGCTCAAATATTGGCCCAAAATGGCTTAAATATTTCAAAATTTT